TGCTGATTATCGTGGCAACGTTTGTTTCAATGCGAAAACGAAAATACGGTCAGAAAATAAAATATTTTGAAAATTCGATTTTTAGCCTTCGACCGTCGTATATTAAAAGTTTTATAATCCGACCATCCGAGAGAATTCAATTCTCTATCGAATGAGACTAGAACCAGATTTTCAGATCATTCGGAAGCGGCTTAAACATAAAGAACAAAAGTGTCCCGTTTATTATGCGCCACTCGTTATAATTTTACTGCAAGACAAATTGAATTTTGAAAATCTAACTGGTAATGCAAAATGTTTATCTTACCATAAATGACTAATGAAAAAGGATTTGATAAAACTAAAGCTGGTTGTGGAGCAGTGGTAAATGTGTAACAATCACTCCATTGTTTTAATTGAGCATTCCCTACTTTGTAGCCGTATTGGGTTGATGGGACTAAATTGTTGACAAGGACTGAGTATTGGGTACAAGAATAAGGAAAATGACCAATAGTAGGACAACTTTCACTAATACCAACAGAATTAACAGGATTGTTGTTACAAGTATTTCCAGCTGAAATTTGGAGATTTGGTAGAGTTTGATATGATTTGTGAGTTACCCAAATAAATTCCATTTGAGTAGAATTTCCAGGCCATTGTAAATGAATTTCAGCCGGTTGATAATCTCCTAATAAAAGCCCGTTTTGTTTATGAACTTTAATCAACCAATCGCATTTCTTATGCCAAGTCTGTCGAATAGTTAAATTTTCATCTGCTAATTGAGAAACTGATTCTGTACATTCGTCAAGTACACGAGCTTCTTCTAAAGATCCTGAACGGAAACCACCGGAAATAATGGGAGAAGACAAGCTGCAGAAGAGAATGCAGGCAAAAATAACGAGAGAGGCTAGCAATTGTGGCATGATTCTAAAAAAAACAGAAAAGATATTTTAGAAGTTTTATATGATATATAAGAGATAATAAACCGGTATAGTACCCTGTCCTATCGCTCAATGTTAGGAGAGCACGTGCCTTGTACGAACAGGTCAAGAAGAGCCAGGTAGGATTTATTTTTAATTGATTCTTTTTCTTCCATAGATAGCCAACTTAGTACAAAAATGGATGTAGAGGAATGAAAGAAAAGTAGAGTTTTAGGTGCACTTAGGAAAATGCTTATGACTTTTAATGAGGATATTGCACAGAGCTCAGCAACGTTTCATTTTGAAGAGAACACTTTTCTCTATATGAATAAGTGTTTAAAAGGATTTTGACTGGTCAGCACACATGTGGACAAGTTTTGGAAAGTAAACAATAATGGAGTAGAATTTCC